CCTATTACTTTTTTGCCGTTCTCCTTCCGTCGTTGGTTTTGTTATCATCTAAAAATAGTGCTACTATGGTGACGTGACGTCACACTTCTCCTCTCTATTGTACCATACAGAAGTGTCAAACAAAATATTAATTATCATCATCATTATTAATATAACAATAATAACAATTATTATTATTATTATTAAGAGAGTATTTGCAGTCTCGTAAGTGTATGGAAATGCTAAGTAAATGATTGTATTGATGTGCTCTAACATTCCAACAAGGTCAACAGGTCTTATGTACTTCACTACGATACACGCTTCACTTCTATACACGCTTTCCATTTTCTCGGCATCGCAAATCATTCTCTGACCGGTACAGACATTGCAAAGCGAGCGGCCAGTTTCTTTAGTATCATACCCAAAGAGGAAATGCAGCCGTAGGGCCTGTAGGCAGTCGAAGTAAGTTTTATTTTGTTATATAACAAGTTACATTACTTTCGCACCCGCAAATAGCTTATGAACTAATCGAGGTGATGGGAGCTGAAGACATATTACAAGTACAAGGTTTATCTATTGATGGACTAATAACAGTGAAGAAACTATACTATACAATAAACTGACATAAAACAAGGTAAGCACCTAACGATTACGAAGAGAGGCTATAACACGGATCATGTATTAAATAACTTGAGATTTGAGTTGGTTGTTCTCTCTTTTTATGTTAGCAATAGACTCAGGCATAGTATACGATAACACGAGATATATAAACGAGACATAAACGAAAGCCAAAAGAATAATCGAACAAAAGATTTAAGGAGGAAGGAAAACTTTAAGGAGTACTGAACACACGTCCGTCCATCTTCGTCAGCTCACCTGACTTTACAGATTCATCAAATTATCAAAGAGTATTTTTCGCTGATTGTACATGTGTATCTAATGCTTGGGTTGATTTTAATGAAGATGGGAGGGAAAAGCTCTGGAGACGAGGTTGTATTTCAACAAGGCCAACACGTTTTGTACTTCACCACTGTTTCACGCTTCAGCTACTATACACGCTTCCCATTTTCTCGGTATGGCATAATCATGCATTCTCTGACCGGTACAGACATTGCAAAGCCAGCGGATAGTTTCTTTTAATTAGTATCATACCCTAGGATGAAATGCAGCCGTGGGGCCCGTAGACAGTCGAGGTATATGCTTTGTGATCGGGTAAGTATAAAACGGTTCTAAAACTGAAAACTCGGGAAACGGAATATTGAGAAGTTTCCCGCAAAATCATTGAGTCGTATGAATCGATGTTTTTAAACGATGTAAAGGTTTTGAGTTCAAAAAGGTATATCAGACGCATGCACGCTACCTTATTGCCCACAGACCTCAGTTGCAGTCGGTACTTCCACGAAATTTTACGTTTATCTCAGCTAAAGACTCCCCTTTTTAGTGCATCGGCGAGATTTCTCGTCCCCTATAGACCCTTTAAATAGACCAACCTATTTACCACTCCTTTGTTCATCGTCGCCAGGAGATGACTCTTGATTATTAAAGTTTCACGTTATATTAATTGCAAAGGTTTCAAATTTTTACTAATGTAGTCTGTATATTGAAACATTCACATAATATTTGCCGTTTGTCTGATGCTCTGATCACCGCTTTTAAAGCTAGTTGTGTGTTAGTATCATGTAATATCACTGTTTATTAGCTTCTGATCTTCAAGAACAAGCAACAATATCTCAGTCCCTGTATGGTTATTAAGTGCAATGTTTCTACCTTGAGTGCTTATGCTGATTCATCAATAAAATTTCTTTTAAAATATAACCATTTCAGATACTCGATGACGTCATCGAAGAAACCTTGTTTACTTAACTCTTATATCTTATATTTGAACCTTAGCGTTTTCAGTCACGTACTCAGTTACATTCTGTGAAGCCTTTCAAAATTAAAGGCATAGAGTGACTAAATACTTTGTCGGTTGTCGGTTAGAATTTTCGATCGGTAGTCCCGATTAACAAAAAAGGTAACACTTTATATAGGCATAATTATAGGCATTAAACTGTTCCTGTGTACATAGCAAAGGATGGCAGGGATGGACGTGATGAAACTTGAAAAAGTTGGGCCAACTTTCGCTGATTATGCCTGCAAAATTCGTCAAAAAAAACTATATAGTTAATGCTCCCCGATAAAATTTGTTTGATATGGCATTTTGTGATGGATAAAAGCACTAACACTCATGACTTTAGCACAGATTTGGCCTTAAACAGCAACAATTAACAACTCAAAGGAAACTTTCAATTCACAAACTACTTAATTGGCGTTTTCTTTTACATTTCCTTCAATATAAGCTCAACGGATACTGCAAAAATCATCCAAACAACACCACGGTTTTAATCCTTTCAGAACGACTGCCGGTGATAAATTACTTAATTAAATTCAAACAAAGCTTACACATTTACGGTTCTTTTGGGTCAATGCGGTTTTCCTGCTTGCAGTCGACCACCAAACTGAACGTAGACTGTTACCCACA